TCTGACCCTCCACCTTAGATGGCACTTAACAAGAAAAACAGCAAATTATGTTGAAAGCTCTGGTAGTACTGTAGGATAAATACTGGACAAGCAGTTTGAGCCCACCAGCCACTCCACAGGAGAAAGATGAGGCTTTCTGCTCCTGTAAAGATTTACAGCCTTGGAAACCCTTGTAGTTGTTAAGTGCCATTGAGTCGGTTCCATAGCGACCCTTGAACAGGTTTACGAGGCTATAAATCTTTATGGGAGCAGAAAGCTTCATCTTTCTCCCGTGGAGCAGGTGGTAGTTTCGAACTGCTGACCTTGTGGTTCGCAGCCTGATTTCGTAACCACTACGCTACCAGAGCTCCTTCTGGAAACCCTAGACAGGGTTAATATGAGTTGAAACCGAATCGGTTGCACCTAACAACAACAAACTTGGGGAAATTTGGTTCTAACTTGTAGGATCTTTATGTCAGAATTGACTACACAGTAGTGAATTTGATTGGAAATGGCTAGTGAAGCTGAGCATCTTTTCATGTACTTGTTGGTCCCTTGACTGTCATCTTTCTGAAGTTTCTATTCAAGTCGTTTGCCCATATTTTGATTGGGTTGCTTGCCTTTTCTGCAACAACATGAAACACCAACCATTCCTTCCACAACACTCTACTCCTTAATTGGGTTCCATAATCCCTTGCGGTGACTGCACAAAACTCAGACACTGTACTGACAGTTCTGGGGTGTACTAGGGAAATTAATATGTTATATAATACAGGATCAGAAAATGCTTGGGGCACAATTGTTCCAGTCAGATGCTGAGAAGTGCCCTCAGAACACACCACTTTACCATAAGCCTCAGGCTGAAGACACCAGCAGACCTAGCTCTCCCACTTAAGTGCCTAGAGGCACCCAACTCTACAAGCAAGCTTCCTGCCCCCAAGTCCCTTAGCTCTACTTGCTCCATGGGCTTGGGAAACCCACTGCTCAGTCTTGTACTTTGATTCTCGGTTCTGCTGCTGCTGCTCCTTTGCCACTCCTCTGATATTACAGCTTTGTGTCCTTGGGGCAAGGAGGGTCAATGTGCAGGAATCTTAGGGTCCAAAGGATGTGCTTCACTCCTGGCTGTTCTTGGATGGTAGTGAGATCCTCCCTCCTGCTTCTGAGGTGGCTCATTTTAAACCCATGCTAGAGTTCCAAGTTTTTACAATTACTATAAACTCAGCTAACATCTACAGCTGAATCATGTCATCCTATCAATATGTTCTCCCAGCTTTTCCTACCCAGAACAGAAATGTTGTTTGATGGGAGTTACAGATTATGGCTAGAAGAGACATTAGATAATTCAGTATACCACAAAGACTTAAAAAATATATATATACTTTGGATATTGGATCCTGATTGGATATGTATTTATATAAAGTTTTGTCTAAATCTGTAGGTTGTGTTCTTACTTTTATGATAAATGTTGTATTTTATAAACAGGAAACTCTTGTTTTTAATGTAGTCTAATTTGTCATTTTTTTTTTTTATGGTTAATGCTTTTTTGTGTTATTTTTAAGACTCTCCTAGCCTGAGGTTATGAAGATAACTCTTTATGGTTTTGCCTTTAACATTTAGATTACAACCTACTTAGAATAGAATTTTTTTTTTTTAAGAATAGAATTTTTATATGATATGACACAGAAACCCAATTTCTTTTCCACATTTTTTGTGCATTGTCTCAACACCGTTCATTGAGTAAAATAATTTTTACCCAATGAATTTCCCCACAGCTCCACTGTGCTGTATTTTATGGTGGTGGTAGTGATAGTGTGCCGTAGAGTTGGTTCCGATGGGGACCCTGTACAGGGTTTCTGAGGCTGTAAATCTTTACGAAAGCAGAACACTTCATCTTTCTCCCACGGATCAGCTGGTAGTTTCAAAGTGCTGACCTTGAGGTTAGTGACCCAATATTGTTTTGTTGTTAAGTGTCATGGAGTTGGTTCCGACCCATAGCGACTCTGTATAGGATTTCCGAGGAGCAGCTGGTAAGCTTGAATCACTGACCTTGCAGTTCAAATGGCTTTGCAGTCCTGGCACATTAACCCACAGGGCCACACCAGTACTCTGCAGCCCAGTATAGCATGTGCCTATTTATTTATTTATTTTTAAATCTTTATTTTCTTCATGGATTCCTGGTGTGATATTGTAGGATCAGCACTGGACTACAGACCACAATGTTGACAGTTCAAACCCACCAGCTGCCCCTCGGAAACCCTATAGAGGGTTGCTATAAGTTGGAGCTGATTCAACAGCACTTAACAACAACAACAACAACAACAATTCTCTTCATTGGAATCCTGGTGTAACACTGTAGGATAAGCACTAGACTATGAACCACAAGGTCAGCAGTTTAAACTCACCAGTGCTCCTCAGAAACCTATGCAGCGTTGCTATGAGTTGGAACTGTTTCAACAATACTTAACAACAATTCTCGTTATAAATCTGTTTGTCTATGGTCCCGGTGTGGTGCTGTGGGTTAATGCGCCAGACTGCAAAGCCATTTGAACTGCAAGTCGATGGTTCAAGTTCACCACCTGTTCCTTGGAAACCCTATACAGGGTCACATTGGATTGGAACTGACTTGACGGCACTTAACAATGACAACAACAACAATACATATATAGTGTTCTTTACTCCTGGTGTAGCACTGAAGGATCCACACTGAACTGTGACCCAAATGGTTGGCAGTTCAAATCCACCAGCTGTTCCTTGGAAACCCTATACAGGGTTACTATGAGTCGAAGCTGACTCAGTGGCATGGAACAACAGCAACATACTAGTGTCCCACTGTTATAATTGTTGTGTTGTTAAGTGCCATTGAGTTGATTCTGACTCACTGAGACCCTGTATAGGGTTTCTGAGGAATAGCTGTAGTGGTTGAACTACTAACTGGTTAGCAGTCCAATGCTGATCCTACTGTACCACACTAGTACCCATATGTATGTCCATTTAGCCGTCATTTTGTTTCTGTTTTTCTTTCTGTTCTCTTGAAGCTTTTCATTCTTTCAAAAAATATTTACATTCCTTGTTTCTTTTACTTGTCTAATTATGTTGATGAACCTTTCTGAACAATTTAAAATAGTTAGTAATGGGAGTACTTGAGATTTCAGTGAATTATTTTAGAATCAACTTTCTGTCAGAATTAAGTCTTTGAAGTTTTCTATCTTTGTTTTCTGTTTTAAGCTATAGAGTTATTATCTCTCACAGATGTCCAGATGAGGGAAGTATTACTAGATTCCCATTCATTTCTTTGTGAATTTGTGTTTATATAAATCTTTTATCAATTTAATAATATAAGGAGCTCTGGTAGCGTAGTGGTTGCGAATCGGACTGTGAGCCGTAAGGTCGGCAGTTCGAAACTACCAGCTGTTCCGCGGGAGAAGGACGAGGCTTTCTGCTCCCATAAAGATTTACAGCCTCGGAAACCCTGTACAGGGTCGCTATGAGTCGGAACCGACTCCACGGCACATAACAACAACAACATAATAGAAGCAGTTCATTCTTATTTTGCTACAATGTTGTCTATGACAATATGTAGTTCTGCTTGAATATAAGCTTTGTTACGTATTGGCTTGTTATGAGTCTGAACTGACTCGTTGCAGTGGAATGGCATATAAAATGTATCTTTAGTATAAAAACTAGTTACTTTTTGGTATTAAAATGAGAAGTGAAATTGTTTGATATTTTAAAGCAAATTTTAATGGAAGATAATAATCTTCATTTCAGTGGATAATTTTCCTTTTTTCTAAAGATGAATTATTTTCAGAAGTAATTTTTAAGTAGATAATTTCATCTCAAGGGTATGGGGGAAAACGTCAAGGCCAATACTTACAGTTGCTTTACATTCCTGTGTTTCTTAGTAAAGCGATCTGTTTTTTATCTATAAAAATGTGTCCTCTGAATGTACACAGGAATAAAAAAGATTTTGTATCTCTTTTTCTTTCATAAGATCTAAAATTTTTTCAATTTATCAATTTATCAGCTCATATTTTTTATAAATCACTGCTGAACTAGTATTTTGAATGATTACCTTAGAAGAGAAACTGTTTGAATTTATAGCAAGGAATTTATATCACAACTCAAAAAGTGTAAGTAGGATTAATGAATTTCTTTCTTGCTTTCTTTTTTAGTGTTTCACTTTTAAATAAATCTGATATCAGAGTATCTTGTTTTATTTTTACTTAAAGAATTGTTGTTGTTACGTGCCATGGAGTTGATTCCGACTCATAGTGACCCTGTACAGGGTTTCCGAAGCTGTAAATCTTTACGGGAGCAGAAAGCCTCATCTTTCTTCCGCGGAACAGCTGGTAGTTTCGAACTGGTGACCCTGAGGTTAGCAGCCCGATTCGTCTACGCTATCAGAGCTCCTTACTTAAAGAATAGATGTATTTTATTTCCAGTTGGTATATTATGTGATGGGATTTATAATTGTATCTGGGTGGGTTTGAGCAGTCAACCTTTTGGTTAGCATTTTAGCATTTAATGATTTGCGCCACCCAGGGACTCACTGATACATTGCTGTTGGTAGCGCTTTTGAGTCGGTTCTGACTCAGAGACCTTGTATTGGGTTTTCAAGGAGTGGTTGGTGAATTTTGTACCACTAGCCTTGCAGTTCTAAGAGACCTTGTGATTCACTGTTTGTTCTACAGCGCCACACTAGGACTTCTCCTAATACACTTCTTGTTGTTAAGTGCCTTCGAGTCGGTTCTGACTCATAGTGACCCTGTATAGGGTTTCTAAGGAGCAGCTGGTGAGTTTGAACCATCAATCTTGTGGTTCAGACCAACCTTGCGGTTCAATGCTTTATCCCACAGAGCCACACCAGGACTCCTGTGATTTAAACATAAAATGTATGTCAAACAGTTAGCACAGTGCATGTCATGCATTAATTAATACTATGTTAGGGATATTCATGTTTATACTTAAAAAGAAATAAAGTCTACATTTTCATTGTAACACTTCGAAACTTATGTTTTTAGGCTCAGAATAAAGAGACCAATGTTTTAGCAGCTGCAAAGGTGATTGACACCAAATCTGAAGAAGAACTTGAAGATTACATGGTTGAGATTGATATATTAGCATCTTGTGATCACCCAAATATTGTCAAACTCCTGGATGCCTTCTATTACGAGAATAATCTTTGGGTAAGCATTTTCTTTTGATCTGCAGGAGTAGATGAGTTCATTGTGAGTTGTGAGCTTATTTTATGTCTTAACTCTTCTGTAGCTACTAATGTTACTTGAATGAGAGCTGATCTGTTGACAAGAGGGTCATTAACAGATCATTAATCTCAGCTTTAGAAGATACTTAGATCTGTTTTTCAGATTGTGCCAGTTTCATTATAGAACTTGCTTAAAATTAAATATTCTAAAATGTGAAGTTAGGTAGCTTTTTCTTGTTTGTAATTTAAATTTAAGCATTTACTTTTACATTTTCTAAAGTTAGTGTGTTTTCCTGCAAATTGTTTATAATTTTTAGCCTAAACATTTTATAAATATTTAATAAACTATAAAATACTTGATAGAAATCTTATATATCAGTTCCACTTTTAGTACATAATACAGTAGCTAAGGCTGTATGGATAATAAATATTTTCCATTTTGCAAAAATACTAGGTGTAAATAGACATAGAAATGAAACATTAATAAACAATATAGTAGCCAGTTAGTTACTTGTTCTGTACCAGCTTTAATATAATGAAGAGGGCTTTTAAAAACGTAGTCTTAACTTTTGTTCTTCTGGAAGGAAGCTACAAAGTGATATGAGAAAAGAAGAGCAGGTGATGTAAGGAATCAAAAGACAGATTTGTGGATCTGTCAGTTAGCAGTTTGAATAAAGTCACTTAACCTTTATCAGCCTGTGTACTTATCAATAGGATGAGTAATGGTCTACCTTCTAAGTTATTATTCTAATAATGTAGTGACTTAGCAATTTATATTCATAAGCACCTATAAAAATAGTATTGTGATACAAAGGGTAAAAGAACAGGAAGCTATACATTTATTAAAATATATTTTAAAAATTATAGCTATTAGTATGGTGCCTTTTCTACAGAATGTTTTCAGAGACTATAATGAAAATAAACTTCAGACAATTGAAATAAATAGGTAAGGTCTTTATTTTGGACCATTGCAAAATACAAATTTGGAAAACGTTGAGGGAAATTCCTAGTGGAAGATATAGACAAAGAATCAAAGTAAATATAAAGTTACAACTGTGATAAAGGTTAAGAAAGTGAGGTCCATGGTACGATTCCAACTACAGGAGAGGACTAGGTAGGTTCATTCATCGGGCAGTGGTAATTGTGCTGGGATCAAAAGTATTTGTGTGTGTGTTTACATATACACATACTTATATATATGTATTTGTTGTTAAGTGCTGACTCTTTGCAACCCTGTATAGGGTTTCCAAGGATTGGCTGGTGAATTTGAACCGCAGACTTTGTACTGGACTTCGAACCACAAGGTCCATGGGTTGAGCCTGCCAGCTGATCCAAAGGAGAAAGATGAGGCTTTCTGCTCCTGAGAAGATTTAAAGCCTCAGAAACCCTATTACAGGGTCGTTATGAGCCAGAATTGACTTGATGACATTTAACAGCAACTATCTATATATACATAAATATGTACACATATATATACACACGCATATGTATACATGTACATATTTTCCTTAAATTAGAATCTTTGATCACTAAAATCACAATAATTGCCTTATAAATGAAAGTAATGAAATCTACAATGATGAAATGCATATATAAGTGATCTGTACTGTACATAATTTTCAAGAAGCAGGAATACTAAAAACAGTCTTTAAAAAAATGCATAGACTTTCACTCTTTGTAGTTTCTTAAATCTCTTTTAATTAAAATTTATAACTTTTAAAGAAAATGCTCATGTTCATGTGATAGCTATTCCTTTATTATCTTTATTGCTAAATTGAAGGAACAAAATACTCAAACTCAATGTTTTAGACACATGCTCTTTTATTTTTATGCAGATCCTCATTGAATTTTGTGCAGGTGGAGCAGTGGATGCTGTGATGCTTGGTAAATACCTTTTTATTCTGTATATTTTAAAACATGGTTAATAAAGCAATGATTTAAAACTCATCAGCCACTCTGTGGGAGAAAGATGAGGCTTTCTGCTCTTAGAAAGATTTGCAATCTTGGAACCTTATTTAAGGTGCTGCGAGTCAGAAAGCAACTTCATGGCAGTGGGTTGGGTTGCCTATTATTAAGTCCAATAAATTAAATCAGTTTAATTATAGTTTATGTTCTTGGATAATTTTAACAAAACTCTAAAATGAAATGTTGAGTATAACATGTCAGGAAAATAATTTTTATAGCTATTTTAACTGTAAATAAAATTCAGATGTGTTTATTTTACCTTACAGAACTTGAGAGGCCATTAACTGAGTCGCAAATACAAGTAGTTTGCAAACAGACTTTAGAGGCACTAAACTACCTACATTATAATAAAATCATCCACAGAGATCTAAAGGCGGGCAACATTCTTTTTACCTTAGATGGAGATATTAAATTGGGTAAGTTTATTCCTTAGATAAAACATTTGGGTTTGTGCTCCGAGATATCCCTCCAATATATATGTGATTTGCTTTTTTGTGATTAACATTCAAATATGAGAAACATGGAAAATTACCTCATGCTAAAATTTTAAAACACTCCATTGGATAATTATTCATTAACTCCTAGATACTTAAATATAATAGGCATCTAATATAAAGAGATTTTTAAAAAGAATGTAAGAAAGATGGATTTTTATTTTTAAAAAGTCATGCTTTTTAAAGACTGGTTACATTTTATTCCCTTATATTTTTATATGTAGCCTTAATACTTCAATGTAGCCAAACTATAGTGCATTTAGAGTAGAACTGCTAATTTGGTTTTACAGAATGTTTTCATTTATAACATATAAAACCAGATATAGGAGGGAGAGGGAACACAAAAACTCACATCTAATGTGTTCCCTCTCCCTGGCATGTCTGGTTTTATACTGTGTCCTAGATATGGTTTTACAGTTACGTTAAGTCTATCCTGAACTCATGTGTGTCAGTGCAACTGCGCTTTACAGGATTTTTAGTGGTCCTTTTTTTTTAAAATAGCTCACCAAGTCTTTCTTCTGAAGCACCTCTGGGTGGACTTGAACTTTTAGCCTTTTGGTTAGCAGCTGAGCATGCTAATTGTTTGCACTACCCAGGGACTTCATAAATATGGTACCCTAACTAAACTTACACAGTAACCTTAGATCTGAAAGAGGACCCAAAGTAAGTATAAAGATGGGGCTTTTTAAAAATTTCATTTATAATACTGAGGGAATAAATGATAACATCATAAGAATTTGATGTAGATTTTGGATCAGAAATTTCATATCTATGGAAACTATCACCCTTTTTAAGTGCATGTACTAAAGAGGAAGACCCCCAATGAGATGGATTGGCCAAGTGGCAGTATCGATGGAGTCAAGCATGGCAGCAGTAGTGAGGTTGGCCCAGGATCGGGCAGTGTTAAGTTCTGCTGGCACCTAACAACAACAACAGTATTGGAAACCAAACCAAACCAAACCTGATGATATCGGAATTTGTATATTTGAGAAGGATATTAAGAGGCCAAGGGAGAATGATGAGGCTTTCTATTCCCATAAAGATTTACAGCTTGGGAAACTCTATACATGGTTGCTGTGAGTTGGAACCAACTTGATGGCATACAACCACCACCCTTAAGAGGACAAAATATTTAAAAGCCATGCTGATACCATTGATTATGGCCACTCATTCATTTTACACGGTCATGACGTCTAAATAGGTTTTCTACTACATATGCTACATATGCTTTTAACCTTATTGTGAAATACAGATAAGAAAACCACATGAGAAGTAGTACTGTGTAGAGAATTATTTTAAGGCAAAATACATTTTTAAAATTCTTCCAGTTTGGAAGAACTTGTGATCTAGTGATATATAAAGAAGTTACATTGAGGATGGGATCTTTTCTTTGCTAAATATTTTGGAGGGGGCTGTTTTTGACAAGAGGGTGACCGAAATTAAGATGATAGAATTGCCTTACTAAAGTCTTGAAATGCTTTGACCCACTACCCTCCCCCTTGTGGAATACAGTGAACTGTGCTTACAAGCTGTCATTAATGTTGTTGTATGATTATTTATTTCAAGCGGATTTTGGAGTATCAGCTAAAAACACAAGGACAATTCAGAGGAGAGATTCCTTTATTGGTACACCCTATTGGTATGTATTCAGTTTTATGAATCACAGTATTTGTCATGTCAGCAATCATTATAATTTATTAATTTTGTCTACATAATTCAATATACTATTTATCTTTTATGTGATTTGCAATTGCTGATCATAAGTTAACTATCTTAACTTTCGTTTCCCTCTCTTTATAGGATGGCTCCTGAAGTAGTCATGTGTGAAACATCTAAGGACAGACCCTATGACTACAAAGCTGACGTTTGGTCCCTGGGTGTCACTTTAATAGAAATGGCTGAGATAGAACCACCTCATCATGAATTAAATCCAATGCGAGTGTTGCTAAAAATAGCAAAATCTGAGCCCCCTACATTGGCACAGCCTTCAAGATGGTAAAATATTCTAAAAAAACTTTTAAAACAGTAAAGCTTGTTTTTATTACTCCAAAATTTCAAGGGTATTTAAATCTAGGTACAAGGCACAAAGACTGTATGAATTAGAAAGCTAGTTTTTGTTATGTTTGCAAGACTCAGAGACCAGACAAATGCTTATAATGAAGTTTCCCCATATTTTTGAAAGTATGAGTGACTTGAATTATGCATGCAAAGAGTACTTTCTGTACTCTTAGATACAGAAGCATATGTAATTGACTTAAATTTGTCAACTGATTTAACTATGTCAACTAATTTAAAATAAAAAAAGAATTACTGTGATTTGGCATACTTGTGAATACATGTTATTGTTTACTGTTAAGTGCTGTAGAGTCAGTTCTGACCTATAGCGATCCTGTAGAGGGTTTCCAAAGAGTGACTGGGTTTGAACCTCCATCCTTGTGCTTAGCAGTCACTACTACAGCACCACACCACTGTGAATACATAACTATAATTGAATGACTGTAAGTATAGACTCGACGGCACTTTGCAACAACAGCTGCCTAGCAGCAGCAACATATACCTATTTACATGCATGTCAAACATGTATTTACAAATGAACAAGTATGATCAGATCTTAATATTCCCATTACTTCATTTTCATATGATGAATTGATACTCTTACATAATTGATTTAGGGTTTTATTTTTTATAACAAGAAAGTAAAATAAATGTCACTGTTAACATTTTATTTTTGAAGGTCTTCAAATTTTAAGGACTTCCTAAAGAAATGCTTGGAAAAGAATGTGGATGCCAGGTGGACTACGTCTCAGCTATTGCAGGTAAGAGGAGAACAGCACATTGTACAGAGGATGCAGTTTCAGGCTTAGTCAGTGTGTTGTTTCCATTTGAGTTTTCTCTGTGGAAACTCAAATACATTCCAGTTGTTAACAGTTACCTCACAAACACATGTGTTGCTGTTGTTGAACAACATTCAGCTGTGAATCATTCCTCCTGGGCTTTTTCGATTCCGTTTCCTTAAGTGCTTTTATACTGTCAGGTATTTTCCTCTTGTCTATCCAGTTGCTGGAATGTCAGCACTTTGAGGGCAGTGTTTAATAATATTTTTACATCTATTAAGTGCTCAGTAAAACATTGCTGACTTTTAAAAAAATGGTGTTTGTGTGATTTGATACGTTTAATTTTGTTTCATAGAAGGATCTGTGATATTAGAAATAAAAATTTGTCAGTTAATAGCACCTATGGACAAATAGAATGACAACTCTTAAGGCAGTTATTGTTAGATTGAGTTATTGTGCAACTCCTGTATTATGTGTTTTATATTGACCATTCATGTGTTTCTGAGGTGGGGAAAGAAAAGAAAAATTATGTTGCTGTGTTTAACAAGTTTAATTCTGGAACACACTTGGTATCATTCTTTTACTTACTTCACATTTGAGGCCTTATTCTGGAACAAAAAATTAAATTCAGAGGATACAGAATTTAATGTCTTTGTATAGGTGTTTGTGGATACTTTAAAGAGAACTCGAAATCATTTTTGTAATTCATTTGTTGAGGATTTGGCTGGATTTAAATAGATTGTTATGGCTTTATAAGAACTATGAATACACTGGGGTCCTGGTGGGGTGCTGTTGGAAAAGCACTTGATTGCTAACCATAAGGTCAGTGGTTCGAAACCACCAGTCACTTCTTAGAAACCCTGTACAGGGTCACTCTGAGTCTAAACTGACTCAAAGGCACTTAACAACAGCAGCAATATGAATATACTGACTTGAAGCTTAACTTTGAATTTTATTTTCAAGAATTCTTGTTAGGTGCCATTGGGTCATTCATAGCAACGATTATGTATACGATTATGTATAACAGAACAAAACACTGCTGGTCCTGAGCCGTCCTCACAATCATTCCTAATGTTTGAGCCCATTGTTGCAGCCACTATGTCAGTT